CCCCAAAACCCCAAAACCCCAAAACCCCAAAACCCCTCTATTTTATAGCTTGATTGAAAATTTTAAATCTTAGCTTCAAAAATAGTTCTTGAGCTTAGTTAAAATACTTATTATGAGTTTTCATATTTCTACTCGAATATCACCGGATTGAATCTGAAAGAGCTTTTGTCTTCTTACAACACCCACTATTTGTATATTTCCTTGAAGATTTAATATTTTTATCTTTTTTGATTTCATACTGAACCCTGCAGACCTTTTCATATTTGCTATAAGGTGACTTAGACCCCTTGTAGGACATGGAGGACTTCAGAATTTTAAACCTAGACCGATTTGACCGATTTGATATATCCATTTCATAATTCGAATTCTTAGCCCATAGATCTAACTTTTTCTTAAACCTCCGAGAACTCTCCCCTGTTTCATAAGGACAAGGAGGTCGATTTCTATTGATTGAGAAGAGAGGAGTCCGATAAGGAGCATTTTCCTGATATCGCTTCATGTCCTTAGGCAAGGGGCTCTTATAGTTCTCTTTACAGTTCTTCTCTCCAAAATTAGCCAGCACCCCACCTCTTGCGCTCATTGATTTGACAATATTTTCACAGAATTTTGAACTATAATTCCGCCTAGAATTCGTTTGAAAGCTCTGGGCTGATTTTACACCAGATACTTGAGGCTTTTTCAAATCCTTTGAACTACGAAACCGATCCTTGACATACTGGAGGTACGAAGAATGGTGGGAAGGATTTACATCCTGTTTTCCATTAAATAGGTACGAATCCTTCTTCCTTCTATGTCTCTTCTTCTTTTTCTTACACTGCTGCTTTGTCTTACTATTGATGTTTGTGATGAACTTAGTTTCTTGGTAAGAAAACGCTGAGCTATCTCTTAAATTGTTAGTGGATGAGTCAAACTGATCAGAGAGTTTGATCTTACCAGGAGGAGCACCCTGAGTCACTCTCTTAAGTATTGGAAAGCTCTTTCAAGAGTTACCAGGGCGCTTCAGTTTTCGGCTACTTCTATGCTCAATTTTATTCACAATTTCTTCAGGAATCTAATTTATCAGTTAAACTTTTATATTACGACTATTGAGGTATCTCATGAAGCTTGACCAGAGTCATTTATTTTCTATAAAAATGTAAAAATCAAAGAAATATTAAAACAATGTGCAGGGTTTATACAATCATATACATTTTGGTTCATAATACCCTGCGGTGTAGTCATCTCGGACATGTTCATCAGTGTCCTGGAACAGAAAGTAATTAATATCATCTTCTGAGTCATCTCTTGGCTTATCAAAGCTATAAAAATTTATGAGCCAAGGCATAGAGAATACCTTTCTTCTCCAGCAAAGCTTTGCTGGAGAAAGCTATCTTCATCCCATGTGTCAGTCATGGAAACTTCAAACTTTTAAAATCAATTTATTTAAGAAATCATGGGGTTTTGGGGTTTTGGGGTTTTGGGGTTTTGGGG